GATTTTTGGAAATCCTTAAATTTACCTCTGAGGAATAGTGTTAGGCATCTATAAACAAAATTTCAGTCCAATCAGACAAAGTTTAAGGGGAATCGTAATGTGTCAGGATGCGGACCTCTGGGAAATCAGAGTTTTCCTGAAAACCCCACAAAATCTAATTTTAAGTTTTTTTTTCCTCGAACACGTATCTCTTTATTTTTAGTGCTCCGTCTGTGCTAAAAATTCCAGCTTGAGCGATTGTACCGTCTTCGAGAACCAGCAAGTGTCAAAAAAGAGGGGAAGGTACCCTTAAATCTAGAGTCAGTATGCAATTTTCATCCATTGAAATAGAAACTGCTTACTATGCAAATTTGTCCGAGAGAAATTGAAATTACTACATTATATCGACTCATCATGAGCTCAGTTTTATTTGAGCTACGTTGCTATTACAGGTGAACGTCGCCTGGAAAAACGATGAGGTGCACTACAGGCGATATTTAGCTAGAAAATATATCGTTTGACTCAATTTTCGTATTGATTCTAAAAATCATTATCATTTCACTTAAAAGTTAGTTACGGTGCGCTTAGCCTGGAATTTCGAACCTAATTTTCTCATTTTGTGACAGACTGACCAAGCTTACGACTTTTTTTCTACAATCAATAAAGAGTTTGGAAAAACTATTCGTACTTTGAGTCTTCTGCATGCATTGAATAGAACGTAGAAAAAGAATCCACTGAACCCTAAATGAAGAAAATTAGATAGATTTATAAAATGTGTTAAAAGCACATATATGATTCCTCTCTTGACGCACACATCAACTAATTATTTGAAGATTAAATGAAATCGAATGACGCTTTCCTCGATCATTTTTACATGAGTGATCAAGAGAAGAAAGCACGAAAGGTAATAAAGTATAGAAAATGAAATTTTGACGACTTTCGGAGGATTTGCCCTTTCTTTTTGCGAAAAATAGCCTATCACAAATCATATCAATTTCTTGCCATATAAAGTCTATCTAAAACCTCAAAAGGAACTATCCTAACCTTCTCAAGATACGCAATCAAATCGTTCGCTAAAAAAAATGAAAAATAAATTATATTGAATTTTTCCATTGCTCATATCATACATAAAACGAAGTTAAGTGTTCAAATGGAATTCTATTAGTTAATGTAATAAAAATAACATTAGCTGCATAATGTAACAAAACCAGTTGCAAGACGAGCCGAAAGTCACTTCATTGGACCATCCAGATCCTGTCAAATGGATAGTTCACCGAGATAATAAAAGACTCAAACTGTTTCTTCGTGGTCTTGAAGAAGACAGAAAACTGATTGAAATTCAAAAGAATATCCGGAGCTGCTAGTGTTATTTGATATAGAATATGTCAATCTTGAATGAATCACGAGAAAATCTGATTGAATCGACTCAGATTAGACAACGATGATCAGTATTTCACTTTAGATTGTACGCTCAGTTCGAAGTGTTTCAAGGATCGACATTTTAGCGAAAGACTTCTGAACAACAATACATTGACTCTTTAGTTGAGATTGGTGAGAACAACTCCAGACGTCTACCGAATGATTCACTGTACGACATTTTAAAAAATTGTTTTTGGATCAAAAGAACGAGAATTCCGCTCGCAAAGCATAGAATCTAAGAAATGTGTAGATGAAGAAAGAACGAATCCGAATGATTTTCATTAAAAACGAAGTCAATTCGTGCTTAATGTTGAGCTTTTTCAAAATTCTGATCAGATATCGCTTGAGTTCGCTCTCAAATCATCGAATCATATATATAGGAATTTGTTTTCTGTGCATTGATTCAGCAATAACATGATTAGATCTCAATAAAGATGTGATGCTTCATCACTTACAAGTTAAGTCAATATACCTGATGAACACACATAATTCGTACTTGTCGTTGGACGTTGAGTTCTTCGTCATTTGTTGCCAAAAATTCTCGTTCTGATACTAGTGGCAAGAGAATCGAGTTGTGCGTCTAGGGTTGTAGGAATGAGCTCTAGATATTGTGATCACTGAGTTCTTATCTGCAGAGAATGAGACATAGTGTCCGTCTGTTTTTTTCTATGATGTTCGCAAAACAAATAGCTTGCAATAAAATACACTCAAAGGAAAAGTAGCAGTGAAGACAACTATAAATGATGGTATAGGAATATTTAGTTGTTTTCTCTTAGAAACTACAATAAAAAAAAAGAATCGCTGGTTATCAGTCGAGTCTTTGCTCTCTACTTCATCCCATTTCGGCGATTGCCTCGATCAACGCTATTTTCGACTTTTTGTCACAATCTAAAGACATACATTGTGTGTTAGTTTTGGTACACATCACTTAAACTGAACGAACGACAAGAAAATGTGCACCAAACGAACTCGCCAGTCATTTCTGCTGAATATTTAGTGTCTCAAAGAATTTCTTCCATGTTTAGCTTGAAAACGCAACAATTCACCTTCTTTCCTACTAAGAAAGCCATTCGAAATTATTCGGGCTATACAGCATCAGTGTTTCAATTAAAACAAAGAAATGTTATTTGCAAAGAATTACTAGGTTATAATTGGTTTTTTCTTATAGCATAAGAAACCGAGAGCGCGCTGATTTATGAAGCAGACTATGTAAAACTAATCACTACGTAGATAAACTTGATAGTGACTGATAAGTAGTAGTAGGCAATACAACATTTTGTGAAGTCGGCCGTTGCTGTAGGTAACTGACTTAGGAAAAGGTGGTACCATTGGAGTTACATCAAGGTTCCTTAGTGAATTTTTCGGTCAATCCCAGCGAATATACTTACCATTCATGGCAGTACTCTAGTTACTCTCGGGAAGCAGTATCATACTACAATTTTGAGCATGATATCAAAAATATGTCCAGTATGTCTTATATTTTATCTGTGTTTATTTCGTAAAAATGTTTCTCAAAACATTCCGCCAACAGCACTATTCGCAATGCAATTGAAACGCTGTTGGTTAGTGGTCTTCCTGTTTTTCGTGTGTCAGTCTTCGCGAATTCATAGCCATGGAAAAATAGTGCCGTACAATCAATTTGATTATCGTTTTTTGATCAAAGTTCAAAAAGCATTCGGTTCTCATTGATTATCAGCAAGAAAACGAATGGAAAATTTTCATTGTACATTACCAGTCAGGTAGAAGAAGAGAAAAAAGAAAACGGAGATGAATGACACTGATTGATGCATAACAAGTTCAATGAATAGAGCATCAACGAGTACGAAAATGAATAGTCATTCTCCCATCCTAAAAATAATTTGATAGAAAGCCAACCTATCGAATTGATCTGAATTGAACACAAGACAATGATCACCTTTGAAATAGTTATGATTAGTAATTTTTTGATTGAACAGTTAATGTTTTATAGTTCAAACGATTCCGAACAACTTTCCTAGTAGGAATGATGATGATGAATTGTTGCATTTTCTAGCTGAACATGGAAGAGACTCTTTGAGATACTTAATCTTTAACTGAAATGGCTGACAAATGCGTCTTGTGCACATTTTCTTGTCGTCCATTCACTTCAAATGACGTGTACTAAAGCGAAAGTGCAATACAAATCTTTAGAACGTGATGAAAAGTCGAAAACAGCATCGACTGAACTGTATCGAGTGTTGCCATAAATCAAAAGGAGACATACCCACACATATCCTCTGTGATTTTTTTTAATTTCAACTTATCTAGTCTAGCCTTGAAAATAAAATAACATTCAGATAAATTAGTGAAATCTATTAGATTATGCTTATAGTATTTCTAGAAGGAAGCTTTTATATAAACAAAAAAGTATTCTTTATATTTAAAGTACTTGTATCGTAAAGGTTTCATCTGTGCTACTAAGAGAAGACAAAAATCAGAAACTGATCAAATGGGGCTTTGTTTTTTAATGCATACATAAGCAAATAGTGGCATCTTAGACTGAATCAAGGTATTGAAAATGGATTGGTGGATACGAAAGCTCTTGTCATTTATTATTATTATTATTATTATTATTATTATTATTGTACAATTAATAGAAAAAAGCCATCTTCATCAAGTAAATAAATAAATTATCCTCATTATCTTTATATACGCATATTAAGGGAAAACAATTTCCTTTAGACTATCACATTTGACAATTAGCAATCAAAAGATCTACTCTCTTTTGCAAGTTAATAAAATTCAACGATATAGCGTCAGTCCGATTATACTTTCCACGGCAGTTCTATGCTGTTTCTTTGACATAAATTTCTACAATTGATTGAGGAGAGTTGGGCATCTTTTCTCGTCAATGAATCATCATTTCAATTGAACTGAAGTTCATTCAATTTTCATGTGATGTTGCTGTTTTCTAATCTGAACTAGTTGTGATGATTCTAAACAGTTTGTGTTAATTTGAATACTTTATTTTAGTTCCCTATTACTTGTTAAGAATTATATTTGTAATGATACAGATACAATTCAACAATAGTATCATAATCTTCATCTTAGCAATGTCAGATGACTGTTCCATTCAACTTAATAAAATATTCGATTCATATAAGTTCTTTCTAAAAAAAAATACTTTCAAATATCCATCAAGACAGATGAAATCGGTAAGTGCCTGAGAACCTTTTGGTGGTGACTGACTGAATTACACAGATGCCTTTTTACTAACAGAAGTTAATGGTACTAAAAAGTCATTTATCACCTTAGACTTTTTTGTGAGTTTATTAACTGCACTTTTAATCTCATCATTGCATGTCTCATCTCATTAAATACATAGCAGCATGTTGACGTTCAGAAAATTGTTTCAATACATGATGAGACATCTTTTGCTTAAATATATCTTTGTAAATATTTGGTACTTATTATATGTTTCATCAAAAGATTTTATTGTTTTATCAAAAAGAAAACTACCAAATAGAAGAACACAAACTGAGAGAATAAAGAACAAACAGACACAAAATAATCACATGAAAGAAAATATTTTTTCTTCGGGTATAACTTATTTAACATACGAAAAAGAAAAAGACAATGTTTTATTATTGAGTTTCAATAACCGGTGTTGAATTCGTCATTGTATTCTTGACGATTGTCTCTGTATCATTATCTTTACTATGATGACGTTTTTTACTTTTAGAATTGGGACTTTTTGAACGATGACGACGATGTTTTTTATGATGATGATGATGTTTTTTACGTTTTTTTTCGCTATTCGAATTTTTTTCTTCAGTTGTATCATTCGATTGATTCATAGAATTAGTTTCAGTTGATTGAATATAATCCGAAGAATTTGATAATAATGGAGCAGAAAGATTTTCTTCAATAACCGGTTTAATTGTTGATGAAAGTGTCGTATGTTGCTGATCTAATGGTACTGTCATTGGTGATGTAGAAAGTGTTGATTTAGATTGGGACTGTTCTTCTGTTTTAGATGACGGAGCGATACGATCATCATTGACTTGTGAACGATGTCTCGAACGACTTTTTGTTCGATGATGATTCCGACTAAATCAAATCATATAAAAAAAACCAAGATAAATTATCTTTCTCACTCAGAATTTTGTTTTGAAGATGAAGACTCGTGCATATAGACAATTGTACGTTGAGTTGATTGTTGAATAGTTGGTGGTGGACGAGGTGAACGACGTCTTTCTCGATTTCGAGTCGATCGATACGGACGAGGAGAAGGTCTATTTAAGAAAAATAAAAAAGAACAAAATATTTATTTTATTATTTTTTTTTCGAATAAATTTTACCTTCGATAATTCGATGAATATTTTTCATTAGTAGTAGGAGCTCGTCGTCGATTTCGATATGATGGTGATCGATGTCCACCAGATGATCGTCGTTGTTTACTATTACTGCGTGTTGATCGACGTCTTTGTCGACGACTATCACGATTTGGTGATTTTGTTCGACTATCATCACGACGACGAACACTTGTTCGTCGACGACTTCGACTACGTGATGAACGACGATGACGATGATCATCACGCCGTGAAAATGATGAACTACGAGAATCACTATATCAAAAATAAACAATAAAAACAAAAAAAAAATCAAACAAATATCATTGATTATATCTTACGTGCTGGTAGAAGATGAATATGATGAAGAACGTGAACGAGTACGATGACGACTGCTAGATCGTTGACTAAAAGCAAATAAGAAAACAAAAATAAATAAACAAAAATAAAAAACAAAGTAACCATTTACATTCGTTGGAGATAACGTTGCTTCATATAAAATTCATCTTTAGACAGAGCTGATGCTAATGGTGTTGATATTGGTTGAGCAGCTGTTTGATGATGATGATTATGAGCAATAAGTGTTGATGTTGATGTTGATGTTGCTGCAAATGGTGTATTTGGATGATGAAGAGAAGATACATTAGCTGCTTCAAAATGTGCAACATGAAATCCATTTATTGGATTTGGTTGTACATGTGAAGGAACAAGTGGATAATGATGAGCTGGAAGACCAGCTGGAAATGATGGATGACTTGGATAATGACGTATACCACCAACTGGTAAGATTGGAGGAGCACCCACCGAATGATGAACACCGGAATAAGGAACATGCATTGGTGATGGATAAAAATTACTAGAATAAAGCAAAAATTCATATTTTTAAATATTTATTTTGATAAAAATTACTGTTGAATTGGATAAAGACCAGTTGATGATGTTGGTGGACCTGGTTGAGAATACATAACACCATGATGAACATGTTGTTGATGAGGTGGAATACGTGGAGGAGCTGGATGGTAATACGGTACAACTGATGCTGTAGAAGCCATCGTTGTTGTTGCCGTTGGTGGAGATGAAAGAACTGCACTTACTGGTGCTACTTGAGATGGTGGAGTTTGACGATCAGGTTTTTCATCTTAATGTACAAATTTTAAAAATCATATTTTGAAAAAAATAAATCAGAAAAAAAAGTGATTTACTTTCTGAAGCATTTGTATCAATTTTCGTATTCAGTATTTCTTCAACAATGTTATTATTTGTTGCTGATAACTCAGAATTAACATCTTTTTGACTAATATACATATATAAATTTAGAATAGTTATAAAGCAAAATAAAAACTAACCTAGATGTTGTTTGATCTGTATCCGGTGCTTTTCCATCTTCAAATGTCATATCAGCTGGTCTTGTTGAAACAATTGGTTGTGGTGATGGACTTCGTCCAATTGGTTGCATTTTAATAACAATTGGTGCTGTTTTAACTGGTACAACAGATTGTTGTGGTACTGTTGAAAGAATAGCTTCATCATATTCATCAACATCATCAGAATTTTGAACATTTATTAATCCAGATGTTCGTGTTGATGTTGAATCTAAATCTTGTTCTAATGTTTGTGACGATGAATAATTAACTATTGATGTTTGTTGTGGTAATGGCATATATGGATAAGATGATTTAAGTTGTCGTTCTTCACGCCAGCGATTAACATGTTTTCGTAAAAATAAATTTGGATTTATCTGATCAATAGCTACATGTTGACGATGACAATGTGGACATTCATGATCTTCACTTTCAACTAGAGCAGTACGAATACCTTAGAAAAAATACAATATATATAGATAGATAGATAGATGTATGAATGAAATTTAATAAAATATTTGTTTATTTACATTCATCACAAAAACTATTATGACAACATGGTGTAATAACAGCATCTGTATAAACTTTTATACACACAGGGCACAGAAGATCATCAGGTGGTGTATCTTCATCAGTAGATTTTGTTGGTAACATAGATGGTGGTGGAGCCGGTGGTAAAACACCTTTTTCTTGAAATTGACGAGCACGTTGGGCTAATGCATCAGCTTTTTTCTCACTTTTTTCAATAATTAACTGACTAAAACGAGCATATAAAAAATGTTTGTAGAGAAAGATATATTTATTAATTATATCCACTGTTCTTTTATAATTGACTCAATGGACAAAAAAAAAGACGACTACTGATTCATATTGTATTTGAATTTAAATACTTACGCCATTTGTCGTGGTACAACAGGTGCACCAGTTTGATCTCGGAATGCGCCTGGTATATGTCTTGGAATTTGAATGAGGCCATCACGTGGTATACCTGTTGTTTTTTTAGGTAATGGTTCATTACGTGGATGACCTGATCCACGATGATGAGAACGATTACCATGATAATGATTGTTATGATGATATGAAAGTTGATAAGGTGATTGATGTGTAACAATATGTGATGGATGTGGTACTGGTTGTGTAGTCGAACCTGAACCTATCGACTGTGTACCATCAGTTTTTGATGTATGGTCACCGCCCGAGGATAACGATGAACCAGTTGCATTACCAGTTGAATTTGTAGATGATGATTGCTGAAGATAGAAATGTATGAACGAACAAGAAGAGAAAAAAAAAGTCAACCATTAAAATAGGGACTATCTTTATTATAATTATAATTCTTTTTATTTAATGAAGATTCTAAGTGAGAAAGAAAAGGATGACTACTAATGTGATTCACATCCTTAGTATAGTTATGACGCACAGCGTCTTTATTATCAGCGATAAAATAATCTAGTATACAAAATGGAATGGATGAGAATAAAACGACAGAAAATAAAGATCGACGTTGATAATCGAGGATAATCATATATGATGAATCCATTCCAAACGTAGAACCTACCAGAAGAAGAGGACATTGATTTCTTATATGACCCGGTTGTTTACAATTGTGACATGTATATGAAGTATTCGATCGATGTGATGTTCTACAAAACAAAAAAAATATTCATAATTATTAATTTTTGTTATTCATAAAAACAAAATAAAACTTACAAGTATCGTGATTGAGAAGTTTTTACAACTTCTTTAATTCGTTCATCTTCACTCATTTCTTGTGTCGCCGTATTATTTGACGACTAACAAATAAAAATTAAACAGTTGTATTGAATTTAATAAAGCGAAAAATGAACTAACCTGAGTAAGCATTTCTAATGGAATGGCTTTACTTTCAATAATTGATGATGATGATGATGATGATGTATTTGTTGTTGAAGGTATTGTCTAAAGTGAATTAGAATTTTAACATAGATATAAATCAAATTTATTATGCTTTGGAAAAAAAAACAAACAAGTTTTTCAAGTGTTTCTCGAAGTCATAAATTATGATGGAATTTTTCCAACTTTTTGATATCCTATCTGAATTTCTTATTTGAAAAAGGATAAATATATTGAATCTTGTAGCATTATTATAAATAACTGAGAAATAGTGGATATAACATATGTTATTTCTTTGCCTAGTAATTAAGTGAATAGTAACAATAATGCAGAAAGTCATTTCTTGACGGACTAGAACTCTTTTAAATTTTGATCTGTTTCATAAAAACTTTTTTCTTCTAGCTAAAATACGCAATCAAACAGTATTCGATGCCTCAAATTATTCTTCTGCTAATCATACACACAAGACAATAAGTATTTTACTTACAAGCTGTGTTGGTTGAAATATAGCAGGTCGAAGATACCTGTAATATAATATCAAATAAGATTTACAAAATAAATAGATTAAACTTACTCATTAACAATATCATCTGATGATACAATTGGTTTTTGATTTGATGCCGGTGTTAATGATTCTAACACACCTCGAATACGTCGAGCTACGACAACACTTGTATTACGTGGAATCATATCAGAATTATCTTTGTATTCTAAATATATTTGAAAAAAAAATAACAATATAAAACAAAAATAAAAAATAAAAACAGACCTTCATGTGTTGTTGCATTACTAATAATTAAATCATAATCATCTCTTGGATGATGTGTTCCTGATCGTGATGATCTTTCGACAATCAATCGTTTAAGTTCTCCAAGAGAACAGCTCATTCCTTCGAATTGTACAGATTCAAAATCTCTGTCTGCTTTGTATTTATATCGAATAATTGACATAGTTTTGGCCATATTGATGTATCAGATAGAGAAACAGCAAGATAGAAATATACAAACAAAATGAATATGTGTTTATTCAACGTAGTTAGATGATAGATCAATTGATCAAAGAACAATCGATATTAAAAAAAAAACACGAGAAAAATGTTATTGATAATCGATGATCAAGGCAAGGACAGATGATGACCAATTAGATGACAAATCGTAGTAATCGTTAAACATGATCAACAAATGACGATGTGCAATATGAGAAGATAAACCTAGGCATTTTATAATTCAATCTATGAATAAAAAACAAGAAATAAAAATCATCCTTTTATTTCGTATATCGATGATAAAGAAGGTTGAAAACAAGCGAACAAAACCTATGAATCATATATATATATATATCAATAATAAATAATTACACAGCATCGAATATCTTGCATAGTCATGACAAAACAACCTCCATAGTATAGATAAATTTTTCCGAAGAAAAAAATCAATAAAATTAATTGAAAAATTAATTGCAATCGAAAAAAATTTAAGAAGTTTATAAATTAATACACATAGTGCCATCTATTGTCGCTACCAGGACAAAAACTTCATGTTGTTTCGTAGTGAATGACTACGTCAATGGACAAAAACAGAATGAAAAACACTAGCAAAACTTATTTTCAAGTTGAAATATTTTAATAAAATAATCGATAGACGTTGCGTTGGTTGATTGATTGAGTTGTTTTGAGCTCTTTTTTCATTTGTACCATCGAATTAAGAAGCTTTTTGGATATTTGTGATTCAAATTGTCAACTTTGATGATTATCGGGTTTTGTCTCTTTAAACATAATAATCATTGAATAGAATAAGTTCAATAAAAAAAATAGGCATCTATAGTAGTGTGGCAATAATTTAACTGCCTGATCAATATTTTTTTTTGGTTAATAATAAATATTGTAGTGACAGAAAACTTCAAAACGAACACTTGCAAGAATCGATAATCTTGTCTTGAAATTACAATATAACTTGCAAAAAGAAATATCGGCCGAATAAACTTTCGATAGAGACTAGTGAAAAATAGCATACTTTAACAGTAATTTCTAATCATTCAGAAAAGTATCAGATTCAAAGCACACAATGTTTGCCCATAAGCAATTTAGTTAGAGTATCATTAGTCTAAGGTGGCATATTAATTGTTTCGAACATTTGAGTCAGACAATCAAAGTGAAGATCATCAGAAATCTTTTACATTAATTAAGTAATAAATCACTCAAGAAAGAGCTGTATGCTCATGAAAAATACTAACAAGACTTTCTCATGATCGATACGCGTAATCTATATTCTTTATAAATCAAATTCATGGAGATTTCTATTCAATTAATAGATTCCTTGGTATAGTCTAATGCATTCAGTAAAAGATTGCATACATTGAATCTATTATTTCGGAAAAATCTCATAAGGAACATGTCAAAGAAAACAAAACAATGACCATTCGACATCGGCATCTATTGATTATAATAAAATACAAACAGAAGAAACAAGGACATTGAATGATTAGCTAACAACTTAGAACACATATAACGTCCAGAATATAGCTTGTTTAAACATCATTTGATAAGGAAAGACAAACTATTTTTGGGATATTGAGATAAAATTTTATTCGTAAACATCTACTTGCTCAGATAAACATTTCATTTTTCAATATTAGTTCTGTTTGTTTTTATAATACTTGGAGAAAGGACTTTATCACAAAGTTCTCCTTAAATAATAATAGAGGATGTACTATTTTTTGCATCTTGAAGCTGATTAGCTTTTTAAGAGTTCTTATTTATTGTCTTGACATCAATAATCATATACTAATGGCATATTTTACCTATAGTTTTTCTTTTGTTTGAACAACTTTTCTCATACTATCAGTTCTGGGAAAAAAAAGAGATTTCAGGTGTTAAGCTTCTATATGCTTGTTATCCATTATTTCAATTCATTAATAACTTTTAGAAAGTTTACACTCAAATGATAGCCTTTGATTTCTGCATGTAGCATTTAATGCTGCTAAGCACGTTTTGCATCTTAAATGACAACTGATTTTGTGACATAATAACCTGTGGTGACTCGAAAAAAAGCATCTTATAGCTATATAAAACTAGTTCGCCTTTTTTCTAATAATGATAGTTAATATAACACGTCTAATACGAACAGTTAGGTAAGAACATAGCAAATATTCAATGGCAATTGAATGATGAAATTTGACAGCTTAAACGTCTTCCTGCCATTTTAAAAATGAATCAGACGTCTACAAGAACAACTAACATACAACTTTATTTGATAAGTCTAATGTAATAACTTACACAACAATAAGAAATCTGATTAAATTATGTTGTAGAATAGTAATCGATTCTTGCATATTTTCTTGAAGTATTAAAAGAGAATAGAGTTTTTTGTTGTTGTTGTTGTTGTTGTGATATTATATGACACAAAAATCTTGTTTTCAAATTGAGAAGTTTTTTATTCATTTGTTATCATATTTACATAAATTTGAGTAAACTAATGTAAGAGACAATAATGCCATTAAGCTTTTGACCGATAGACTTAAACAGTCGTCTTAATTCAATAAAGTTCTGATCCCTGAAAACCGAACTGTGACTAAGTCAGAATATTCAATTGAGATAAATTCAGATAAGACTCCTCTAATGTTACTTTTAATTCTATTTCTAGCACAGCTGATTCAATGAGTAGGAAATAGAAAATCAATAATTATTCTCAGTTAAACTCTCATCATAGTTACCTATCATGGTAGTCCTCTTCATAGACAGTAATTTTTCCAAACATAATAGGTCTTTACCCTTTCTGATTTGAATAAGTGCCACTTGATATAGATGTAAGTTGATAGTGTATTAAACAACACTCATGGAATTACTCTCTCTCTCTCTCTAATACAGAAAATAATATCATAAATAAAACTCATATTGGTTATTTGTTTTACATTGTTCAAGAATTTTTCTGAAATATTATCTTTTGCATTTTGCTATTTCAAAAAAACCCAACACGTAAAAAAAAAACAAGTATTATATAGGAAATGATTCATAAATGATAAGTAAATATTTGTATTGGAAATATAGGGAAAATATCATTTATTTTATTAAAGAACTGAATTAATATGACTGAATCATTTCTATGCAAAGGTAAGTAAAGGAAAGAAACAAATTTGTTGTGCAAGATTGCTTTATAGATGAAAAATCATCGTTTACGAATACTTCTCATTTTATTTTATCGTCTGTTAACATTCAGTCGATAAAGACACGAGTAAATTTCTTTGAAACAAGTCAATTTTAACTGTCACTGCCATCTATTCAATTGTCTAAGTGACCATTGGCTTAGTTTCTGTCTTGTCATTAATCATTTTCTTTCTCTTTCTTTTATTTCTTGTCAATGAAATTCGATCGAAAAAAAAAGAAATACAATGAAAATGAGAGATTTATCAACTTCTTCTATATGAAGAAGAAGAATTATTTTCTATATGCTTTATTTTAGATATGAATGCATCTCCGAGATCTTCTCCAACAAAAATGAATACATACTCCACACCAGATGATTCACCAAGAGAAGATGGTAATTAAAATACTTATTATTAATTGATTTTATTGAATCTTATAAAATTTAGAACATGATTGGGATTCGTATTTAATTGAAACAAATAGTGAAGCAGCACCAGCAAATAATTTCAAACAAGTAAATAAAAAACGAATTTTTTTCTATTTATTATCTTAATAAATGATTTTCTTTAAAGGCTTCGATTCCACCAGTAAATGAATTCATTATAGGAGAAAAACTTGAATCAATTGATCCCAGAAATCAAGATTCATGGTGTATTGGAACAATTATTGAAAAAGATGGACCAAGAGTACGTATACGATTAGATGGAACTGATGATCGAAATGATTTTTGGCGTCTTGTCGATTCAACAGATATTCGTTGTTATGGAACAACAGCAAAATATGTATGAAAATTTTTTTTTTTGAATTATTTACTTATTAATGTTTTTAGGGTGGACAAATTGTACCACCGCTTGGTTTTCAACTAAATTCAACTCGGTGGTCAAAATATTTTGAAAGAAATGTTAAAGATGGTCCGTTTGCAGCTGAATCATGTTTCAAACCGGTAAAGAAAAAATAAACTGAAATTTTTCAATAAAATAAAATTTAAATAATAAATCTTAGCAACCTTCAAAACCTGAAAAGAATTTATTTAAAAAAGGACAAAAATTAGAAACTGTCGATCCAAGACATCCTCATGTTATATGTCCAGCAACAGTAAATAATGTTATGCCTGGTGATCATCGAATTATGTTATCATTGGATGGATGGAGTTCATTAAATAATTTTAAAATTGATTATTCATCACGAGATATTTTTCCTGTTGGTTGGTGTCAATTAGCTGGAATTCGTATTGCAAAAGTTGGTGGAAATCGTATGTATCTTATCCAGTATATAAGAGAGAAACAAAATGATAAAGAAAATTTTCAATTTCTTTTTTAGCTCCTTCTCGTACATCAAATAAAACGTTACCAAAAATTTCGAATAAACAACATGGAAATATTCGACAACAGCAATCGAAAAATAAGAAAATAATTGCTTCATCATTATCAAATGATTCATCAACCACTATGGATGAGAAAAATAATAATTTAACAACGAAAAGAAAAACAAATCAAACATCAAAAATTGAAAAAGAGAACGGAGATTCAATGGATTTAAATGAAACTAATGAAAATATTAAAAAGAAACAAACCATTGGTAGGAATTCTATCATGGAAAGTTTGTTCTCTGTTCACGTAGATCACAGAAATGTCTATAGCGGCAGTATCGCCGCCTTTGCAACGACACAAGAGATGTTTCAAAAAACTATCATAATGACAGCCCAGTAGATTTAGATTTTAGTCGCGATGAACATCTCTGATAGATCATAGTTTCTAAGATCTGAAGTTGATATTAGCATTAAATAGAAATGACTGATGCAAAATCGACCGTAGATAATAAAAAAAACGAAAAAGATCAATTGAAGATCGCTTTGCATATGTAATCCTTTATAGAGCAAACTCATTTTAAAACAATAAATGTATTCACAACAATGTAAGAAAGGCTGTTAGTGCAATTCCTGCAAGATTAAAATGTGAAACACGATGTAGTTGCTCTTGCTAATCACAAGGATTCTGTTTTATTCTATGTATTTTGGGACACTTTTTTTTTTTCATCATCATTTTACGAAATTCTCTATAAATACGAAGAAAGGAGAATAGTTCATATATTATAATGAGGTGTCGATATATGGTCTGTCATCGTAAATCAACAACATCTGTCACGATCTATGGAGCAAGGAGGCGGTTCAAATTTTTATCCTGATACTTCAACACTCTGTTGAGATCGTGTTTCACAAAATCATGATCGTCATGTTCCATTATGATGGTCTTTTTTATTTTGATAGGCACAATATATAGTATTCTGAAGTTTACACACACCAAAACACAATTTAGCTGATTAAAATCTTACTTTCTAATGCTTATCAAACTCAATTGAATACTTGCTTCATTTACGGATAGAAAAATTCGTTGATTCTTTTTTTAAACATATTGAGTAAATGGCTGTCGTTGAAATGAGTGTATCCTACACATGATCATATGTAAAAACGATCTTAATTCTTCTCTTTCAAATTTTGATAACTAAATATCATAATATTCATCTGTAATTTTTTCTAAGCAATTATTGATATCTATCGTTAACGATATACACTAAGTACTCAAATTAAAAGATCCAAGACCTCTATTTATAAAGTGATGGAAAAAAAGTTTAACAACAATGCATTTTTTTCATATTATTCTATAATGTCAAGCACTTAGCTCAAACTCAGATAATGATTTCAATGATGACTGGAGTTTTCTATCTATAGCAAAATTTCATAGATGAGCAATGATGGCAACGTTTCTAAAAAAATCAGAAACAGTAGCCTTCAGATCCCAGAAGACTTTATCGAAGCTATTTTTTTAATAATGCGATTTTCAAGAGCATAAAAGTCTGAACAAAGTGAAGGATCGTCATACTTTCTACGGCTTTTTCTTAAAAACTTAAAAATATCCAAAAAACTGTAAAAAAAAACGAAATTTACCAAAACAATGCACTAAAAACGCTTGTTACAGTTTTTATGACGTTTGTAAGTTTTAAGAGAAGTTCAAAGGGTTTGCGGCAATCTCTCATTTTTTAAAGAATTTTTTGCTCTTTCAAATTGCATTGTTAAAAAAGTCTTCTGAACCTTGAAAACTATCGCGTCGGGCTCTCTTAGAAACGTTGCTACAGAATTCATTAAATAGAAAACTTCAGTGGCTATCAAAACCATTATCTAGATTTGAGCTAGGTGCTTAGCATTATAGAAGTAAAACATCAAAAACATATTGTCGTTAAACTTTTTTCAATCGCCTTTTGCATAGTTTATGCTTAAGACATTCAAATAATTCTTCTATTGAAACAATTTTCGTATTATTTTCAACGATCTATTCGATGAACAGTTTAACAGATGTTGTAAACGATGGTTTATAAAATATTTCTAAAACTCAATAACAATGATCAGATCATTTACATTGATTATCAATTTTTAAAACTCGGTTATCAGATTTTGTATTCGTATGATTTCGATCGGATAAATAGGAGCTTAAACTAAGCTTAAAAAAAACAAATTTCTTTAATTGATTGAATAAATCTCTTTTAGTGACTGTATATTTAAATTATCTTGGTGATAATAGTGGAATGTTATTAAATCCACAAAAATTTCGTTCATCAATGCCATCAACATTTGGACCCGATGAATGTCATACTGTCTTAACATCAATATTTGATGCATGTATGAAATGTGCTTTTCAACAAGCATCATTTATTAAACGAATACTTGATCAATTTCCAATACCTAAAGATGAAGAAAAAGATTCTTATATACAGATGAAATGTACGTATAAAAATATCTTTTGTTTTTTTTTTCTTGAATATAATTTAAGTATAATTTTTTTTTATAGTGGAAAATGGTACAATAATATATGTTAGACAGCTTAAAACAGAAGATGATTTTTGGGATGTTATTCGTATATTGCAAAATGGTATTTTATCTGGTAATGATCTTTTTATTTCAACACCTCCACTATCCGTGAATAATCAAAGTAAAAATGAAAAAAAAAATTTTTTTTTTCACGATTATTAATTTTTTATTGATTTAGGTGATGATTCATCTACATCATCTGGTTCGTATAATTTACATTATTATTTGAATATTGAACATAATGAATATGTTTTTTTAGAGAAAAAGAAAGATTTATCACAATCATATCGATCAATAAATAATAGTAAAACTAAACGAAAAAGTACAGAATTGGCTTCATATCCAGGTATGTGTATTATCAAATTTTTTTTCTTTTCAATATGATTTTTATTATAGAGAATAAAACATTTATAAGTAATGGTAAAGCAGTACGATCCAGTTCGACTGAAAGAACGATTTATGACACAAGTAATTACATTACTGACTAAAAGTAGTTATACTGGATAAAAATGAGCAACAACTCAAGCATTGAAACTGGAAATTTTATTACAAATAGTGCTCAGAAAGCCTTGATCCCAGACACCAATCCATACTCAATAGAATGACAAATAACAGGGTTATGGACCAAACACTACTTTGACCTTAAAATACCCAGATCTCTCTACCATCCGAATATCTCTGCTTGTACGATAATCCTCATTCGTTAGCCAGACATCTAGTCTTTCTATCATAAAGTTGTTTTGCGAAATCACCTCTGTCTTATTGAGTTCTATGTTTGTATTTGAGAATCGTTTCCTACAGACATATTAGCGTCTATAGATAGATTATCTATAATTGAAATCTATCTCAATTATAGTCAATTTATTTATAGTTACTGATATAACTGCGGCAAACGATTCTCAAATACAAACATAGAACTCAACAAGACAATGTTGATTTCGCACAAATGAAGATGCTCAAATGGTAAACATCTAAGTGTCTTAAGATCAAAGTAGAGTTTGACCTATGATTCCATTATTTGTCATTCTATTGAGTATGAGTTGGTGTCTACGATCAGAACCTCCTGAACTCTATTCGGGATAAAATTTCCAGCTCCAATGCTCGAGTTTTTGCTCATTCTTATCTGGTATCACTACTTTTGGCCAATAGTATATTTTAAAAATTTATATTAATATATTTAGAACCTTCATCGAATACTTATTCAATACCAAGAAATGAACAATATTCGAATTCAAAACCAAATCCACATGGCTGTAAGTATCATTCTAAAATCCAAAAGTCAATATTGAATATGATTTATTTTATTAGATGAGTCTCGTCATATTGAACGATTTACACCAAGTGAAGTAGCAGCATTTGTACGAGGTATTGATCCATCATTTGATAGTCTTGCTTCAAGATTTCTTCAAGAAGTATTTATGATTATTAGTTGTTTTTGTTTTTCAAAAATAATTTTTTTTTCTTATTTGTTTTTTAATAGGAAATTGATGGAAAAGCTCTTCTTCTTCTTACAACAGATACATTAATGAGACATATGGGTTTAAAACTTGGTCCGTCACTTAAAATTGTTCATCATATTGAACAATTAAAAAAATGTTAAAAGAATTTATTTCTTTTTGTCCGATGCTAGTCTCTCTTCTAATTTTTCTTTTTTTTTCGTTTTTGTTTTTTGTTTCGTTTCTTTTAAATAATTCTCGGTGATTCTCTTTGATTTACAATCAGTTGAGAACACATATTATATTATTTTTGTATAATAACAGTGCACTCTTCATTTTCTCAATTTATTCGTTCTTTTGCTGAAAATCCTTATTTTTTATTTGTATACATATATATATATATATATATTCATATGGGACTGAATGGGGCTATTCGAATATCAAACTTTATTTCTTTCTAATACTTCTTCAATTGTATCATGATTTGTTTAACTTAAGATTTTGTCATTGACATATATAATCGAATTATGTTTACGATTGAAGAAGTATTAAAAAAGAAACAGAAGAAACATTTTATAGAGATCATTAGTTTGATTCATTTGATGATGCGCATTATTGTCGTTTGTTTAAGTAATATAACGGTGTAATCTGATGATTTTAGTTGTGCTTTTTCGTGTCTTTATTGCACCTTTTTTCTGTGTAAACCATGTGTCAAAAGTCTATGAATAACATATTCGTTTGACTTCTGATTGCTTGTAAATCACTGGAAAAGAGTGTGGATATCTGTACAAAATTTTGCCATTAACTCATTTATTTATTTTAATTTGAATTATCTCAACCAAAACGATAAATCTTTTTTTATATAACAGTTAGTAGAACGAAGTTTACTGTGTAAAAATAACTCAGTTTGCTTCAATCTGATGCTGTGTAGTTTTTCGAAAATTGACTGTTGACTTTAATTCTTCTGAGTTTCGACTTATTTTTAACATTTTTCTGTAGTAAAGAAAATACTTTTTGAAAAAAAAACGTAGAGATTTAAAATTATCTCAGCTATTGTTTAGAACTGTTACGTATAACGAAACAAAAAAAAAAATACCGCCTATGTTCCTTCGTGCAATTTACCATTTTTGATTTATTTAAGTATCTTTTCACAGCTAATCGATCTTCGTGCAAGAAAAAAAAAATTCGAAAAATCCGTTTTCAAAGAATATTAATTTTTGATTCTCTCGCGTGATCTATAAGTAGTCGAAAATTGAACAATTATGTTATTCAAAAACTTTCTATACATTGATTTTTCTTTTTGATTTTGTACGTGTATTCATTCAATCTGTTTTCTATCGATAAAGAAAAAAGAAATATCTTTGTATTGTTTATTTTAAACATACACATATGTTTGTGTATGTCGTTTGATCGTTTTGTTTCTATATGTATTTATCAATAAATGATGATTTTGTTATAATTGATCATCATTAAATTGTGTAATCCTGTTGATGCTCTTTCTGTTTTCTTTTCTTTCTTTTTTTTGCCTTCTTTTTTTGCATATATATAGCCTCGAAAATGATGGAAAACTAAGATCTTTATATAGAAATGAAAACAAAAAAATAAAATAAAATAAAATTTAATATAATATTGTATCATATGTTGGAATACAATTGAAAAAGTAATGAATTTCACATTATATTGATAAAATTTATTTTAATATTGATTTATTATTATGAGAAAATTAATATATTTTACTGTCATAGTCGAGGTCTTATTGAAAGAAATAAATCTTATCATGTTTAGCTTAGATGTCGTCTATTAATAATATCCACAAACGTTTTGCATTAATATTAATTGATCCTCAAAATGGTTTTATTAATGATGGTTATTGGTCTCGTATGTTTCCTATTGGTCAATCAACTCCTATTCTTGAAGCATTTCATCGCATTGTTTTATTTCTTCGTTCAATACCAAATCCTGATTCAATTCCAATATTAATTAGTGGAACTGGTTTTTCCTATCGTGATCGAGAAATTTTCGAACCAATAATTAATGAAATTTCTCAACGTAGATTTTCTTCAATAACTCACATTTATAAACCTCATACAAATCTTTCAATATGTCCAGGTGTTCATCAATGGTTACAGAAACAATTAGAATCTAAATTAGATATTGTTATTGGTGGATGTACAATAACATCATGTATACGTGATTCATCAATACAAATACAAAAGATGTTTCCACAATTAAATTTATTTGTTGATGAAAATTTATGTGCAGCTAGAAAAGATAATTATATACCAAGATGTAAAAAATGTTTAGAAAGATATATGATTTATGGTTCACTACCTATTCAAGATTGTACAATTTGTCTTAATAAAGATTTAGCAAAACAAACGATATCACCTGTTCAATTAGCTTTTCAACAAATGAAAGATGCTGGTGTTAATGTTATTGATAATTATTCTCTAACAACGAATTCATAATTCTTTTGTTTTTTTTTTTGAGAGATTTGATAAATATGAACGACAAAGATTTTAATGTAGTACAAATATAGAAGATATTTTGATGAATAATTTGGAATTTCAGTACTAAACAACTATCTATTATTTTTATAAGAACAACAATAAAAAATAAAAATAGAATAGTTATGATGTTGTGTATAGTTAGACAACTATGTGGATTATGATCTTAATAATAAATTGAAATTTAAGAAAACAAGTTAAAGTCAATACAAAAAAAAAATGTTTTTTTTTATTAGGTATAAAAATAATTCTCCATATTGATAAATTGCATATATTTCGATAGTTAACGATAAAAATATATTTAGATCATTCATTCTTTCTTTTTCTTCATCATAGATTTACTCGTCAATTAGCCAATGCTGAATATATTAGGGAAAGCTGTCTTTCAATCATCAAATTTTTTTTATGGCAAAATAATCACAAAAAAAAAGAAAAGATACTTTTGGTCACTAAATACATTAGGACGACATGGATGATAGAGAGTTAATGTTTATGAATAATAGATGGTGCATTTATGGCAGATGATGTACTTATCTCAAAAGTTAATTGATCGATAGGACAATGTTAAATAATGATAATAATCTCGTTAAACTCAGGGCATTTACAACGAAGGATGTGGGTGTTGATCTTTTTTTAGCTATCTACACTCTCTTGATTGCTATTATTTATTCTATTTTTGTAAAAGTACAATCATTATTTCTTATAATGTCTGTTATTGTATTAATAATAAATGTGATGATCAAAAATATTTCTTCTCAACATATAACATTTACACTTTAAATAATTTGTTTAAAAATTCCATTTATATTTCACTTCTTTTTGTTTTGCCGTAAAAGAATCAATAAACTCTTATTTGTTTAATCTTATATCAAAAATGAATTCAATCAATTGATTTTTAGTTTTAATTAAAATTAACATAAGAATTCAATCAATATGAACGATAATAAATAAGATCAATATATAATTAAATTATTCTCAACAGAATAAATATTATATTTGATGGCATTCATTATAAAATTTATTTTATTGTTATCGTTTTACGTCATTAATATTGTTCACATAACTCATAGGAATAGAAACTAGTAGTCTCAGACAAGTACACTTTTGTTATCCAATTCTTGTGTGACTTTGTTCATCAACACATTGAGTAAATATATATATATACATATACAAACATAACTACATACTTATTCATTCCGTATTGTGGGTGTATGTGTGTACATGTTTCCGGTCAAACAAGTTCCTTATATTTTCTCTTTTGTATAGAATACTCATTTACTCATTTGTTCGTCCATCCTTTATTCTTCGATGATAAGCACAGGAAGTAATGGTCTCTTTTTTTTTTCTTTTCTCTTGTCTACTGCAATACTTCAAACATGATTAAAAAATCACTCGACTTCGTCCTATCCGCAAGACATTCTTAACATGCAGAATTCCGCCCTCTTTTAACTGTCCACTTAGACGACACGTAGTCATGCACAAGATCTAGCCGTCCAATATGATTATTCAACTGATGAAGATGTTAGTTATGTTTAAATGAATGAAGTCTCTTTTCTTCAAAATAGTAAGTGATTGTCGTTCTTTCTTTTTCTTTTTTTTTTGTTGTTCTTCGTACATCCTCTATTTTCAATACATACATGTAACAGGAAACAACTTTGATGTGACTCTCTGGTCAGTGGAAAATATTATCATGAGATCATTTTCTTTTATGTTATATTCATTATTCTTATTTATTATAAAGTTTAAGTAAAACATATGTATATTTACAAAATAACAACAAAAATATGTTGTGATTTGACATCAGACACTCATTCACATACTTACTATATGTACAAGCCCAAAGGTCATTTTGTATATATTGTATATGTACGATCAAAAATGTGTCAGAATCAATAAAACATAAAAAGACCGACGAATCTGATGGTTAAAACTAACACATATATACATATATCAAGAGAAAGAAGGAAAAACATAATAAATGACCATTGGCCACCTATTGAGGGATGACAGTCAAACAATAATATTATACTATCTTTGATGTTCATTCATTTAAACACATTTATCTTATATTCTTTTCTGACAAAAAAGAGCAACATATTGTTTTTAGTGAAAAATAAATATAATTCTTTCATTATACATGATTGTCTAACGAAAATTGACATTTGTAAATAAAGAAAAAATTCATTGAAATGCTCTTTTTCTTTTTTCTTATTAAAATAATAGCCTTCAATGAACATCTTATGTAATGAATTAGTTCGTTTTATTTTAGAGTTGATTATTTAAAGTCTATAAACATCATCATTATTCGATTATTTGTTCAACACCAATGTGTCATGTCTATTGAAAGAAGAAGAATACTTTTCCTCGTCTCTTTCTCTACATATATATATATATGTATATTGTATATTGTTGATAATAGCAATCGTTTTTGTATTTAATATAAAAATAAGTACTTGAGTAGTTCTATAATTATCATTTATTCTGTTTCTGTAAGATGTTGTTGATATAGAATAAAGTTGAATTGATCAATCAATCAATCATCTATCACTAACAACAGCTAGTTGCGCAGTGAACTATGAAAAAGAAAGAATTCATTCAATTGGAAAAAGCGACGATCATTTCTTCTGCTTCATTGATAGAGTAATGAAAGGAGAAGAAAGGATCAGATTTCGAACATACATAGATATTGATAGAATTTCGATTTAATGTTCATGTCTGCTGTTCACTTATATATTATGATTATGGAGTTGTAGCAGCAGCAATAACAGCAGTTCAATAATAGTTCGTGTGTGTTGACCAATGATTAGTGTTATTATAATTGTTCAGACAAGACTCATTTTTCGTCTTTCTTTTATGTTCTTCTATACGATTTCTTTTCTTCGATTAAGAAATACAGACATACATACACACGATTAATTTCGTCTATAGAATGGCAACTAACTGATTTCACAACGAAAGTTACACATACACACACACATGTACTCTTGATCATATTGTGAATAGATGAAGATCAGCAGTAGTGCCAGACTAAACACACGAATGACTGGCTTGTTCATGTCTAATTGCAGTCATTGAATAGTACTAACTACTCCACCCGGTAGACACACATATATAAAAGAAAGAACTAATATAAGCTTGTATGTGTGTTCTTCTTCGTTGAGTACGCCTACTAATGATCGAGTCTCTTTTCTTCTTTCTTATTCCGACTGTTCGTTCATTCAAGGTTGCAAAGATTTTTTTGTATATGCTCGAATGAAGAAAAAAAAAAAAAAAGAGAGAAAAGATTCCTTTTAGCACCATAGCTCATTGGCAATATATAATGTAATTTTTTTTCCTATACAACACTCTTTAGTCCGAACGAATCTATCGTTATTGAATTAGTGATTGATTTCATCATCTGTTTCAACGATCGAACGAGCAAGTAATACATGTACACATATAAACTCAATTTAGATAAAACTAGAAATAAATTCTTTCTTGTTCTTTCATTTTTATCATTGTTATGTGAACACATTACAAAAAATAAAGATCATCAAAAAATTATACAATATGTAGGGGGTAAATATCTATGTTTATATTGTATTGATTTATCACGTTTATCCTTGAGATATTGTCTCGTTTACTTATTCATCTTTATTTAACCTTGGATCTTCATCATTTAATGATGACTAGAAAAAAAAAATTACTAGTATTATTTCTTATTCTCTAACTAAAAAAAGAAACAGATCGCGTGTGACAAAGACTAAATAGAATTATGATGTTTACTATGTAACATGATATATGTTAGTAGCTACAAGCAGAAACTAACCAATTATATTTGAATTTCAGTTTTCAAGATATATATATATATATGATATCTCCTGAGGCTTCTATGTCCATGCTTTCATTTTAGCATGCATACACACTACCGATAATTATTTTTCAATAACGCACTTGTTTGATGTATGCGTTGCATCATTCCCTTTTATTTCTATATGTTGAAGAATGTCGATTAGCCGTTTTTTTTCTCATTCTATGTGCTGAACTTTGCTAATGTTCATGTTCCGATTGAACGACCTGTCGAATGGTTCATTTAGACAAGTACATCTCAATCTCAAAAGCAAAGCGGTTTCCTCTTTTTTTTGCTGTATCTTTAACAGACAGCTGATTGATGTTCACACTTTGTAGTTTAAGATTTGTATCTGATTAGATCGAAATATTGACCTAGCTATAGACATATATATATATATACGACGACGACAATGATGAGTGAGCACACGCGCTTCCACATATTCTGATAATACAAGGTCTTTTTGCCATGTCATAAAATAGAGGTATGTATTTGAAGTTGCTTACTACTACGCAATGAAATTCGAGTGCATTTTACGTAAGATTGCCTATCATACACTTGAACAAAGAATCCTCATATATGCCTATTGTAGAGAACGAGAAGCAAGGTACAAATTAATAATATGTATAAGCAATGATGACAGAAAAAGAAAGGAGATAAAAAATATTATAAAACCTCTTCTCAATTTCTCTTTCTCTCTCTCTCTCTCTCTCTCTTCATTTTTGTTATCGATAAAGGAAAAGCGAGAGAGAGAGAGAGAGAGAGAGAGAAAAAGAAGAATTTTTTTCTTCTCTTATTCTCTTCTGGTACAAAAGAAAGATTCTTCTGTTCAGTCTCAATTTCAACAAGCAGAATAGTACGTGAGTATATTAAAAGAATGTAGAGAAGATTTGTTAGATTGCATCATAACGATTAGTAAGATCTGGTCGCTATCAAGCGAACTCTAATGATCTGATGTCTTCTTCTATACATACGTAAGTTGCCTGGAGTGCTGTTCGTCCGTCGATCTTCGCCGCCAAGCACACAACACACATTCACATATATATCAGACAACTTAACCATATTATTTGTTTATACAATCACTAAGCACATATATACATCGTACTCTAGTGATCATTTAAGTACGCATCAT